GGGGGGGAGGGAGGGAGGGAGAGAGGGGGGGGGAGGGAGGGAGAGAGAGGGGAGGGAGAAGCCCTTCTTACGTCCTCCACATGTGGCCATGCTGGAGATGGTACCTGAGCCGCAGCACAGCAGCTGGTGTGACAGCAGCCCATCTCACTGACCCTTCCGTGGCTTCAAGGTGAGCTTTATAGAAGCTGTATCAACATACTGTGTGTGAGGAAAACGTTATGTCAAAATCAAAGATCAAACTGGCTATTGAAAGAAGAATAGAACTTTTATAATTGGAATACAGATAATAAAACATTTTAGTTAATCAGGCATTGCAGGTGAGATAGGAATATTGCAGTTGTTAAAAATAAACCAGAAAGGAAGGCATAGGAATGAGAAAGTTTAAAGGATGCTGATTTTGATGGTGACTTGATATTTTCATGGATAGCCATTCATTCGTAAGGGATATTGACCATTCATAGGAAAGAAATCAGGCTCCTCCTAAATAGCTAGATACATAAAATCACTAGATACATGAGTGATAAGACTATGAAAATTATAAAAATGTTTAATAACTGCACAAGGATGGAGGGAGTCAGACAGTCTAGATTTCAATATGACATCCACAATTATGAAGACTGAAATGGAAAAGAAATTTGATTATTGAAGTGAACTCATCGTACACTAAGCAGACAATACCCTGGATTCTCACCATAGTTCCATAGGACGCAATGGAAAACATATAAGATAGTGTCACCGTGAAATTTGTCACTGTACGTCATCAATGGCTCAAAAGCTTTTCAAGTAAAGCCAGGCTGGCCTTGAACTCATAGAGATCTGCTTGCCTCTCTCTTCCGATTAAAGGCTGGGATTAAAGGCATGTGCTATCACTGCCTGGATTGACCCTTGTGCATTTTTATCAAGAATGTATATTAAATTTTGTTAAGTTCCTCTTGATCATTTATATCATAACTTCCACAAAGCAGGAACACTGCTTAGTAAATCATTGGAAGTATTCTTCCTAAAGAACAGAGAAACATTTGTTATTACTATTCTTTAACACTGTGCTCTAAGTACAAATGAGTGTCAGCAACAGAAACATGCCATAGAAAGTTGAGGGATGGAGCTGTAAGTCCGTGGCAGAGCACATCCTCAGCAAGGACAGGGCTCCAGGTTTGTTCCTCTGCACCATAAAGCAGTAGTAATGATAATAATAACAACAATTATAGAACACTGGAAAGATGGTAACATTTAAACGTCTGAAAGGGGCGGACAGACTCTGTATTACAGTTACTTCATTATTTAACTAAAGGCCTTAGAGAATCAATTTAAATTTTAATTAAAATTTATAGCAGGAGAGTCATGAAATTATCATGTAGTAGTGAGAAGTACAGTGAGCAGCCAGCAAGGATGTTACAGGAGATGCTCTTATTATTCGTACCAGAGAGAAGACACAGGATATTGAGAAGAAACTTTAGAGAAAACATGGAGAACATAAAGGAATATGTGCTGCAGTCTTGAGGTAAGCATCTTACGTCTGGAAACATCATACAGAGCTTAATGTTCCAGGAGTTTCTTCATAAACTACTGTATTCCCACTGATAAAACCATCAACAAATGATTTCTGAGGGGCGGAAGGGCCAAAGAGCAATGCTAAAAGAAAAATCCTGGAGTGTTAATTTGGAAAAGTGAAATACTTTTCAGAATTTTATTTTTAAGAAATAGTACTGCGGAAAGTATTGTAGCCATTGCGTGTGTCGGGGTGTTCCTATTCAAAGAGTGACTGTTTAGACTGCAAAAGCCTAACTAGAGGAAAATAAACTGATAAATGCGGAGTGGGAGTCTTGATAGACAGAAACACATACACCTCAAACTCAGGGAGAAAATCCCATTCAGGTCGACTTTGTCAACATGGATCAGACTGGGGAGCTTGGTGCCAGACGGTTCATTGTCAGCATATTTAAGACACAGTACAATTTGAGAAAGTTGTCAGGCAGTAATCACTCCCATCCCAGGTTTCCAGGCAACAATCAGTCCAATTCCAGGTGTACAATAAAGCTTAAGGCATGACTACATAGAAACTTTTTTTTAACAAGTACACGCGACCACGAGGGTGGGCTCTATAACTAAAGGGCTTCAGATCTGGTGTGGTCTCTGACTGAGTTAGCATAGAGGTCTGCTATAGCATGAATTCTAGTTGGTCTTAACAATAAAATCCCAAAGTCAGATATGGGAGTTAATGTTGAAGATCAGAGAAGCAGAAAGTCCAGCCATTAGAGAGAGAGTTCCTTTACCTCTACCAATGTTCAGATAGAAGGGGTAATTCTGTCCTCAGACTGCATCTCCAGACTTTATCTGTCTCCATCAAACCTCAGACTGCAATGAGTTCCTGTGTCCTTCTGCCTTACATTCCCCTCTCCTTCCAGCCATATCACTCTTTTCTCCACCTCCCTACTGCTGGGATTAAAGGTGTGGGATCCAACTGCTAGAATCACCTTTGTGTGAGCTCTCTTTCTCTTTTAGACAGATTCAGTCTTGTTAGCCAGGGTCCCCTTGAACTAACAGAGATCCCTCTGCCTCAGTCTCCTGAGTCTTTGGGTTAAAGGTATGAGCCACTACTTCCTGGTCTCTACTGGTTTAGCACTCTGATCTTCAGGCAAGCTTTATTTGTTAAAACAGCACTCTACTTTAAAACATCATTTTATTTATTAAAATATCACTATAGTAAGCAGGTCATAAAGTACATGTGACATCTCCCCTAAGGATGGGTGACTTCTAGGAAGGGGGGATCTCGGCTGGCATAGCCATTCTGGGGGATTTGGGTGAGGTCTACCTTCTTCCTTCTTCGCAAAGAGTGGGTGTGGTCTGTCTCCACAACAGCAAAAAACATCCCCAGGTCTTAGAAAACGTCATCCCCAGCCTTCTGGGCAGAAAGCAGGTGTTTTATCTCTCCATTGAGGAGAGGTCCCTGTGCATGGAACATTCCTTGTTTCTCTAGTGCTCTGTGGACACAAGGACCTTTGCGCCCCCTGCACTCCACTATGTAAAATACAATATGACAGGGAATAAGAGAATTTTTTAACAATGTTGACTTAATGAAGAACTTTCTCCATGTGACTAAGGGAAAAGGTCCTGACTCAGTAACAGGCTAGTCACCTTCATGAATGGAGAGCACCGCAGAAACAGTGAGGGACAGGGCATCGGGTGGTGAGAACTCCCAGAAAAGAATTGGCATGGCTGGTACATACCTAAATGGTTATTGGTTATTACTCATATAACTGGCAAATTGATTCTATTTATGGTTTATAATTCATGCAATGCACAATAGTGTACAAACATTGTGATATATGTATTGGCACAGCTACCTAATATTAATGTTTAGTTAATATCTTTTTCATCTACAATTACATTTTCTGGAAACAGCTGGAAGCAACTAGATGAAGAGAAAGATTGATGTCATGATGCATGTTCCTTTGGACTTGCGCAGTCTTTCTTTTTGAACTGTCATGTCTTTTCATGCTAATTTTAAAAGCTAACATAAAAGCAGTAGATTTTTATTATGGCATCTCCATTTATTATTTATTTTACTGTGTTATATTTCCCCTCCCATTCCTGGTCTCTGTACCCCCTTTTCACCCCAAGAACCCTTCTTCTGCTCTCAGGTTGTGAATATAAAAGGCAAAGTCCAGCCTGTGTTTAGTGGGGTCACCATCTCCCTGTCTGGTTGCCCAAGATTAACTCCGCTGAGATGTCTACACAATATATGACCTTGAAGTCAGAAGACCTGGACTCTGGAGTGGCTACTTCCCTCTAGATGCAACTGTCCTGGAGAATTTTCTAGTTTAATCTCATTTATGCATCTGTACTCTTTGGCTGGAGAGCATGTATTTTATATATTCTTTGTTCATTGATCAACTTGTACCTGAGACTATATTGTTTATAAAGGATAGAATTTTTGACCCAAGGCTCTTGAAAGCTGACCACTCTAAGGTCAAGGGTAGAGGCAATAGCATTAATACAAAGAAAAACATTTCCTGAATAATCCTCCGACTGTAGATTCTCCGACTGTACAGTGATACATGTTGAAAAAAGTATCAGGTTTTGAATCTTGAAAATCAAAGATTGTGTCTTTCTCATATTTTTGAGTCTATTTCTCTTTTTGAATAAGGTAACACTAGTTTATAAAAGATATTTATTAACTCATTTTTGTAGCTGAGTATTCTATTGTTTAAACTAATGTTATAATATTGCTGATATGATTTTTAAGCAATACATTAATGAACATTAAATGTTATATGTAATTCAATAAGACAAAAGAACACATAAAATAATCACATAGAAGGCCTAGGCTTTGAGAAAGGAAGACAGAAATTCTGTCTGGCAGGAAGAGGAGTAGGTAATCCCTGCATTTCCAGGTGTAAAGGGGACCTACTGGTGTTCCATGTTCGCAGTGATCTGGCCTCCTGTGAAATCATTTCTCTGACAGGGACTCCAGCTTTATCACACACAAGATGGTGCACAGATGAAAGACTCTGCAGTCTGTTGACTCTAAAATACTGCATTCATTGTAAAGAAAGTCTTACTCACAACAGCTCCAAGCTCCAGGTCACATGGAATAGATCTCCATCTGTGACCTGCAGGGAGCCAGAATGTGCATGGTGGGGCAAGAAATAAGATAAAACTCATTATTTTCAAGGTATCTGTCCCCTGATAGTCAGGGTCACATGTGACTTACATGCTGCACTTATTTTTAAGGTGTGGCTACACATGTCACCTGTATTCTGCCCCATGCTCTTGGCAGAGAACGCTTGTCACAAAAAATCTGACCCACCATGAAGTGTTAGCATGTCATTAATATGAACCAGTGCAGATACCTCTTGTTTTGTAATGCTACTTTATTTATATAATCCTGGTGCTTGACAGATATCAGTCCATCTCTGGCTAGAGAGAGTCCTAAATAAAACTAACAACTCTGTGCAGAAGTATTCAGAGTAGAAGAATCCAGGTTCCTGTGTCTGGTAAGATCTGTTCCCGAACTGGATCCACTTCCCACAAATCAACAGGCTTAATGCACCCCCTTCTCTTGCTGACAGCTCTTGCCCACCAGGGATTCTCTTAAAATGTTCAAACTACAAAGGGGTCTGCTTTCACGGTTTCTCCTTTTGCCGTCCTTGATTCTGCTTAATCTGAGGACAGCTTGCTGCTCTTCAGGCAACCAGCTGCTAGAGAGTGGACCCGAGGAAAGAACTGCCAGGTCAAGCCATGCTGCTTACATACACTTCACAGAAACAAAAGTTCCTTCCCGAGGGAGGCTGGTGAAGTCATCATTTCATAACTAGTATCCACCATGGTCGAGAAAAAGAGCCACTCCTCAGCGCACACACGCAGGGCGCTTCAGCGCCTTCTCCTTCCTTAGCCTCAAAGCTGGATCTTTACTGTGGACAGGAAACAGCTCCCTGCTGATTTCCAGAGCAGCTGCCTCTCTCATGTCCCTCCTCCTTGTCATTGCAAGCCCAGGCCCCTCTGTCTGGTGTCTGTTTCCTTGCCCTGCCCACTTGGTAACTTTTCCCTGTTGATTTTCTCTTCTGTGAAATTGCTCGTGAGTCCCAGGTAGATTTGTCTGCTCTCCTGTTTCATCTTCATCTTGGTTGTTATTGTTACATATGATGAGTTCAATGGCTCCCTTACTAATTGGTTCTAGTCTTATAAAATCTACAAGAGTCTTCTTTAAAATAGGAATCCTTTGTAAGATACATAAAGCTTGTTTTCTTATTTACTTAGAAGTGATCGCTCTGTTCCTGTTTCTCTGTCATTTGTATTGTTGAAATGAGCAATAAATTAGCAAAAATAAATAAACAAAATCATAGAGTCGCTGAATTCAAAGGCCTGAGAAATTCAAAGAATAAAATATGAGACTGTCACTAGTTTTTAAAACTTGTAATAGTTCACTTGGATTCAAACACTTAAAGCAAATCAAAAAAATCAAAGTATATTTATTGCTGTCTTGAAGTCACATAAAAACAGTGAGACCTGGATATGGTATTGATTGAATTCTCTTAGAGATGCGTAATTTAGTTTTATGGCGAGTTTGGTAATGGAAGTTGTCAAGAGATACCTAAGCAGTCTATTAATTCCTATTAAGTTTATCAGACTGATATCAAAAGATCAGGGCTCTTGTTTTATACTTAATAACATATATCCCTGGTGGTTCCCATAGAAATTATCTATACTGTTTTACAATGTTGCTATCCTGCACAACCCTCTTCCTAATGAGCAGGTGTTTAATTAGTTGTGTTTCATCACCGAGATCACACCAACTTTTAGACCTCTGATGTTGACTAAACGCATGCCGGGCGGCTCAAGTATCTCTGTGGCTTCTGTGTCTTGTGGAGGTGGCAGCCGTACCCTCAAATGGCACCCAGAGGTCACCTAATGGAACACCTGAGAATTCACTGGCAACGTCTGTTCTCACCACTTACCACATTCCATCAAATCTAAAACTTTCATCAATTACAAGTCACGATGATATTTTATGCTCCATTAAGAAATAAAAACGCTGCCAGTTAAACTAAGACACACCCTTGATTAATTATAGGACACCTCTGATTTCAGACATATTAAATGAGAAAAGTAAATCTGTCTTTAATAAAGGAGGTGTCAGTTATAGTTCCACTGAACGTCTCCACTTGGGGGGATTTTACTTTCCCTCCTGACTCCCACACTTTGGAAATGATTTGCTAACCATGGACGTAAAAACTGGTAAGAAAAAGTTTGTTCTTGTGTGGCTGTTAGTGCGGGCAAATATAATATGTAATTTATCTGTTATGCTAAGATAGAGTTATATGTCTTTTGTCTCCAAAAAGGTACTAAGTCACCTTAAACCCATGTGATCAATCATTGACTGAAGCATGATTAGTAAAAACCCAGAGACAGAAATTGGGCTTCAACCTGAAGGTCAGAAAAGCAAAGCAGCCAGCCACTGGCTCTTACCTCTACCTCAGTCCGAAATGGCGATCCTGCCTCCAGAAATCTCAGAATGAGACTGTCTAAGAGCTGTCTCCTCCCGTCTTATATTCCTCTCTAGGGTTGGGATTAAAGGCGTGCACCACTAACCTGGTTTCTATGGTAAACTAGTATGGCTACTGGGATTATGGGTGTGTGTCCCCACTATCTGTCTGTAGGCTGATCAGTGTGACTGTTTTACTGTCTGAACTTCGGAAAGCTTTATTAAAACCCAAGTGAAATACCACTACAGTTGACGTCTTCACCTTCATCAGTGTAGGCCATACATGTCAAACACCTGTATGTCTCTCTCTCCCAGGCAGTTCTAACATACCAGGCCTCCTGACTGTTGGGCCAACATTATCTCAGGGCCTGTATCTCGAGGCCTATAGGGCAGAAAAAAGCCTGGCTCAAGTACTTCAAGGCCTGTAGGACAGAGAAAAGCCTGGCTCGAATTTGAATGAGGATGAGACAGCAAAAATTAGGTCGAGGCCCCCTCCAGCCAGAGGGTGGGTTTGGCTGCCTCTCATTGGCATCATACCATGTCACTTAAACTATATAAGCTGACACTCACAGTAATAAACTGAGTTCCTGCTTGACTCTACTCCCTATAGCGTCTGATTGTCCTGCCTTGTGGGGCTGCAGGAATGGGTTGATAGCGCATTCACCTTTCCCTGGGAAATAAGAAGGCCTAGAAACAACTAGAGGAGTACAGAGGCCCAAGAAGCCTGGCAACTGGAGGCTCAAAGAAGCCAGCACTGACTGTCATGTCTAATAACTACATCAGCACGATGGACACAGGAAGCTAATCTGACAGGTGTGTTGCGTCTTTCCGTGATGAAAAATAACAGCACCAAAGTGTTATGGATCCACACATCGGGCCAAGTTCTAGCATCTATCTAGGAGCCCTGGGTGAGTTTCCAGGCTCATCTACATATTTAACAGGTAATGAGCACCCTCCTCGGGTATGCACACTTTATAAGAGAATACTTGAAGGTGTGGGGAGGTGAGGAAGGAGGGGAGGATGAGGATTGTCACGCTGTCAAATAGAAATGACTTTTAAAGAAACCAGAAACCAGGAGTTCAAAGCTTGGTGCTGCTTTTCTTAATAGTTTTCTTAATAGTTTTCCGTAGGTAGGTTATGAGGATGCCCAAGTATGTCCTCATGTTTACGGCTCTTTCTAATTCTCTCTGCATGTGGGTTCTATTTCCTTCTTTTTTCTTTTCAACTTTTTTTTTTTTTTAAAAAAAGACAATTTTATTTGGAGAGGAGCAAAATGTAAGATAAGATTAGAACTCTGACAGCTGATGCTTTGGCATTTGGGGTACCTTTAATACAGTCAGCAATTGGAGATAAAGGAATCTTCCCTAGGCCCATTGGATGGTGCTGGATGTGGGGGAAACTGGTGCTACTAAATAATATAGTTTGAGAAATGTCAAGGTACAGAATTTGGATTATTCCAGTCCCCGAACGCTAATGACAATATGCTCATCCTTTTAATGGAAACATTGCCGCGAGGCTCCTGGCTACATCATCCATCATGCAGTGGAAGACTTGCTGACTTATGCTTTGTGACAGGCCAGTGAGAAAAATATACAAACTCATACACCAGTGCTGCAAATCAATTCTGCAGCAAAGTGGAAATAACTTGTGTACCAATAAGCGGTGAGACCTACAGGGGAAAAATCCCTTTCTGAATTTCCAACTTGTACATAGAAAGAGAAGTCATCAATCACGCGGGAGAGCTTCCATTTCAGGGCTGTTGTTCCTAAAGACAAACCAGATGCAATCAGACAAGACCAGAATATGCAAAGGCCTTTGGGTTTTTCCATGGGCTGGATGCAGAGAGGAAGCACGGGAAAGTAAGACATTTCTCTCCTTTTTTTCTACATGTGAAAATGTGAGTCCAAGCAAAGCCATGTAGGTAGGCTCACTTTATTGTCAAGATGACTAATTAATCACTCTACAAATGGCTATTCATCATACATTAATGAGATACTGTCTTTACTCTGGGCAAATACAGGTTCTGTGGAATCCCTTTCTCCTTGGTACCCAAAGCAAGCTAAAAGCATGCAGAACTCAATTAATCTTGGAGCAGCGTGGGGTGTTTGAAATTGCTCAGTTTGAAAAGAAGCATATAGCAAAGCCATTTAAAGTGTCCATATTTCACTGTGTAAATTCTGAAGCACTTAATCATTGCCCACAATTCTTTTGTTGCCTTTCTTCCTCTGTCATGTCATCACTGTGTCTCCTGCCTCTCCATTTCCCCAACCTTGGCTTCTGAAGCACAAACCAAAAAGGGTTAGGTAGCTGATAAACTGGATTCTCTGTGCTCCTTTATAAAGACTTGTGCATGTATATGTGTGTGTGTGTGTGTGTGTGTGTGTGTGAGCATACACACTATCCAGGAAAAGAAACTCCTATATCTAGTTGTATTTGTTTTATATTGAGTTCCAGTTCTAGATGGATGTAGGATCAACCTAGGGAGGAAAAAAAAAACTATGGTGTCTGCCTCAATTAAATCTGTCTATATTTTTATCTTGTTGAGTGTTTATTCTGTTCTGGGTACCTAGAATAGGTGTTGGTTTAATTTCTGTTGCTGGTATAAAACATCCTGACAGAAAGCTACTGAGGGAAGAAAGTTGGACTTGTTTTGTTTTCTAGCTCAATTCTAGGTTACAGCCCCTCATCACAGGCAAGTCAAGGCAGCAAGAACTCAAAACAGCTAGTCACATTCACAGTCAAGGGCAGAGACAGAAGGAATGCATGCATGCCTGATGCTCAGATTGCTCTCTCTGTGCTTACTAGTTCTGGACTAAACTCCAGGTGGAATGGTGACACCTACTTTTAGCTAGGTCATCTCTCATCAGCTAAGGTCACCTCTGTAGACATGCCCTTAGGCCAGCCAGAGCTAGAAAAGCCCTCATAAATACCTACTTGCTCAATGATTCTTGATTATGTCAAGTTGACAATTAAAATGTCACATGATTAGAAACATAAATTGATTTTATTTATTCCCTTATGGGTCTTCTTACATACAGTCCAACCATGGAAATGAACTGTTGTTTCCTCAGGAAATTAAAGTCAGGACGAACAGCCAGCAAGAACAGTCTGCATAGGTATATACGCACATGTGTACGCACACACACACAAACACGGATGTGTGTGTACATGTGTTTGTTGAAAGTTTATTTCACTGTCTCCACATAACATGGAGAGATCATTCATAGCAAAGAAGGACTAGATGTTGACTGCCTTGCGAAAGCAGCTGATTGATTGTGAGGCGAGAGGTTGAGGCCAAATTGGGAAGGATGTTGCTTATCTTTATTAATGTGTTGAGAAACATCAGTAGTTTTTATTAGAACTTTGTGTCAGGCTTTGCCATGATCACAAAAGGAATCTGTTGGTTCTGGAATGAAAGTGGATGCATTTGGTATATTGGAATAACATAGGTAGCTTTATTAATAGGGATGGCTGCAAAATACTTATTTTATTAATGGCACCCTTCTTCACCCTTCCCCAAAGCCACACT